AGCCTGGCCAGTATCCCAGGAAACAGGAGACTCTGATCCGTCCTGACCAGTGCACAGAGATCAGGAGGAAGTTCTTAAAATGAATTTCAATAAGGGTATAGCTCAAAAAGGAGACACACAAGGGGCTAGTCCCATTGGTCACTGCCATAAAGCACGGCTTTTCATTAATGCAGAGAGTGGGTCTTGTTGGTGGTGTCAATTGATGATTCCCTAACGTGCTGCAACTTCTCCCCCTAGAAGTCAGGTCTGGTCCTCTCATCAGGCCATCTACTCAGGAAGACCTTGGTCATGCTGAGGTTTTGTTCATCCTCACTGCCCAACATCACTCAGAAAAGGAGAAAGAAACTGTCTTTAAAAATACTGTTTCCAGGTTTACTTCTAGAAATCTGATTAATGGCACAGGGGCCTGAAGGCTGAAAAGTAGTGCTCTATCCAAATGAGATAGGAGCACCCAAAGTTGTCAAGAGGTACTTGATAAAAAATTGTGCCCCTGACTCTGATGGCATGGAACCTGTGTCCTATGAAGAACCATGGAGTTTGATTTTACATGACAGATCACAAACAACTTCACCTCCAATGAGTTTTGTGCATGTCTGAACTCACCCGAGTACTTTATTCCATAAATAGCACTAAACTTTGGCCTCCTTGCAATTTAATTATTCTCCTTTGCAAACTTCCCCATTTTGTTCATTGGCAAACCATGTGGTGTGTAGCTTTATTTTTTCTCATTGATTTGTAGAACTTGATTACATTTGGGCCAGCCACACTCAGTATAGGTCAGGCTGGGGTCGGGGTGGGGCCAATACTACCTATGGAAGGGTCAGAGCACTGTCAGTGGGGGGTGGGTCTGTGTTGGGATGCAGTCAGGACCTTCAGCCTGTTGGTCCCCCAATGAGTTCCCAGTCAGAACTGTAGAGGGGGTGGGAGAGGTATGAAGGCAGGCCTTGTCCTCTCATCAGGACACCTACACAGGAAGACCATGGCCATGATGGGGATCTATCCAACGATATTGTCCATCTTCACTCAGGAGAGAAGAAAGATGCTAAGAAAAAAATTCTAGAAACCTGCTTATTTCTAGAACCCTCATTATTTTCACAGGGGGGTGAAGGCTTAAAAGCAGCTCTGCATCCAAATGAGACAGGAGGGCCCAAAGATCTCATGAGGTACTTGATAAAAAATTCTGCATCTGTTTTTGATGGCCATGGCTACCACAAATGCCTCTTGGTCATTCAGAGGCTTTTGATTCCATAGCAGTTCTCTCCTGCTGACTCTACCCTGCAGTGGCTCTACATAACTCCACCCTATGGGAACCTTCAGTAGTCCCTAGTCTGGCATGCAAGGAGCCCCTCCCCAACCATGCCTAAGCAGAAATACTGTGGGTATCTTGGAAGGACACTACATGCTTGAGTTCACCTTTTTAATTCCAATAAGATTCCTTCCCCATCTCCTTATGCAAACAGTTCCTGTTCCACTTCCCCTTCTGTAGCAGCATGAGTCCTAATGAAGTCTCTAAGGGATGGGTATAGTTTGTATATTCATGACTTTCATCTCAACAAGAGCAGGTCAAGTTGGTTACACTGAAAACGGGCAAACTGGGCATGTCAGCCTGATGGTGGCAAGCACAGAGAATGCCCTAGAGCAGTGGCAAACTACAGCAGCTGCTAGGTGCAGCTGTCAGATGATCTCCAGGGAAGTGTTGGAAGCAGGTGGCTACTGATCCCAAGAAGGCAACATGGGAGTTTCTACTACTAGGAGCTGAGGGTCAATCTCAGGACTATTAACACTAAGATCTGAGAGCCACCAGTTAGTCCTCAGACCTCAGAGCTGTGAATACCAAGGGAGATGTGCTTTGCTTCTTTGTGATTTCTCTTCATAGCAGGCCCTCAGATGATGGGTAAGTGAGATGTTTAAGAGGCACAGATCATGAAGGAATGCACAGAGAAGATCCCCTAAACCAAGAGAGGCCTTTTCCATGGGGTGATTGAGTAGAATTTTGGGATCTTGTCTATTTTCTCACAGGATTAGGGTGAGGGCAGTCTAAATCTGGAAACAAGACCCAATAGATGGACACTTGTGCACCCTGGGTCCTGGCAACCCCAGTTATCTCCTCTCAGTTCTCACTGCATGGAGGTGCACAGACAACATGGCAGAATGCAGATGCCGGAGAAGATTTTTTTTTCCTACCAAACTGCCTTTATTCCCACTGACAGTCAAACAAGGTACAGCTTCCTACCAGGGCTTGAACACTATGACCCTCCCCTCTCAATACCCTCCCACAGCCCTCTTTCTATATTCATGATACCCTCCCACTCCCTTCATTTTCCTACAGGAACTGTCCTGTGTGAGGAAGAACCTTTGGCCCTTCCAGTGCAAAATAAAGCAAGGGTGAGATCTTGCCTGAGGGGTAGTCACCCCAGAGGTCACTGGCCAATATGACATATGACTGTCCTCAGGGCCTCTTCTTCTTTGGGTTGCCTGATGATGTGCACTTCCTCTTCTGAGGCTGTGAGGTTCAAACCAGCTCCAGATCTACATCTTGCCCTCCGGTGACATGGAGGGGCAGCCCACATTGTGTGAGTGTCCAGTGAGAGTGCTCTTCATGGACATGGCACCTGGAGGAGGGTGGGAGCTGAGGTGTCCTCTCTGGGGACGTGGGGCCTGGAGTGCTTGATATCCTGAGCACGAGGGTTTCATTCAAGGGGCCTGGATTTGGGACAGTCCCCAGGGCAGCAGGCAGTGCTGGGAGCTAAGAAGGAAATTCAGGCTTTGGAGGTCATCGACCACACTGCAGCCATTGGCTGTCTTATGTGGCCACCCAGAAGAAATGGCTTTTCTGTGACCTATTATACCTTTGTTCCCCAGGTTTAAGGAGGAGGATCTGCAGTTCTGGGGAGGATCGTTGGAACAGATGGTCCCCAATGAGGAAGACCCATTAAAGCCTTGGAGGATAGCAGTGTCCTTTGAACCCAGCAACTCTGGCTCTGTCGCCCTGCACCTCTTCTCGACCTGGGGAGCACCTCTGTGGACTAGTCCCCATGATGGACCCTTGATCATTGCAATGTTTCCATTTCTCTGAACTTCTGTTGGCAGCTGCCTCGGAAGATTTTGTATCCTATGGAGCATACCATGACCTTGAGGCATCTGCAAAGGTGCTTCTTCACAAGCTGAAGGAGGATATGGGCACTGGCCAACTCTTCTTCATACATGAAATGGGCCATAGGGATCAGGACAATCATATTTCAATGGGAGTTGGGAAGTAGGGCTGTCACTCATCTTGGTCTCAGAGAGACAGACTGAGTGTCTGCTGGTCACCCTCCTGGGCTTCCTTTCTGCTTGATATCCTGAACCTACCCATAGTTGTCCTGTCTTGTTCCTTTTTTACCTCCTACATCCTATTCCTGGAACAGACTCACTCAGGGAGACATCACAGACAGGATAAGGTTAAACAAAGTCCCACGGGCCACATGAGTAAGGTCCTGAGCCTTCCTCATCTACCTGTTATCCCTTGCTTCCCTCTGTATCTGTGGCCACTCCCTTTTCTGTCTACTTGTGTACTTTTGACTCCTAGTCTGCCATGTATCACTCTCTGCCTTACTCACTTTGTGTCTGTTACCAAGCCCCGGGAAACCTGTTTTCTTTACCTACTTAGTTCGACCTGGTGCCCTGTTCTTGTTGTCTACCTTTTGTTTCTCCCCAACCCCTGTTGATCCTGGTGTCCCTGCACTTGTTTATCAGGTGTCCCTGCCACTCTGGTGTATCTCCTATCCCTAGTCTACTGGGAGACCCTCCTTCCCCTGTCTACCTGATCAGTGGTGAGTCCTTCCTGCTGCTCCAGCACTTTGTTAGGGCCAAGATATTAATATTTATATATGGTTTGGAGGAAAGTAATTCTTTTAGAAAGTGGGGATGAATCATATTCTCTGCCTGGGGATGAGAAGGAAGAGAGTGTGAGTGACCTTGGGAGGAAATGGCCCCAAGTCAGGAGGATTTCTAGGAGAAAGAGGAAGCAATGTTGATACCATGTTCATCTACACCATGGGGTGGTTATATCCCAACTACCAGCTACACTTATTTACAAGTGTACATGCATGTGCAAATACTTTCTCTCTCTCTCTCTCTCTCTCTCACACACACACACACACACACACACACACAAGAAAAATCTGATATTCTAAGCTATGTAGCTCAATTCCATGGGTCCTGAAACCTTGTATACACCAAGTTTGTAGGCCCAGCCCACCTTGTTGACAAAGTCCTCATCAACATAGCTCAGGAGACTTAGACCTGGATATAAATTATCCTGTATTGGCTGTTGCTCCAGTCCTTCCTCTCCCAAGTTTGAAGCAAGCTCTCCTATGGACAAGTGGGAGTGCTCCTACTTGGCAAAATTAGTAGGCCCGAATAGCTCATCTATGATGTCCATGTACTCTTGGATGGCTTCAGGTGGGATCTCCTCGGGCACCTTGATCTCAGGCCCTTTGGTCTTGGCCACCTTATTCTTGTGCACCTTGGTCTAGCATGCCTTTGTTTCAGGTACCTTGGTCTCTGGTGCCTTGGGTTTGGCTGCTGACGAGCAGGCAGGCTGTGCCTTAGAGTTGGTCTTTCTGGAGGTGCACACTAGGAAAGGGAGGACCATAGTGGTGCATGAATGAGGGATCCATGTTCATCCCAAACACTTGGTAGTAGGCAGGGTTCAGGGGACCTAACCTGGTATGTCATGCATGAGGACAACCTGACCCAGGACCCAAGGGAGGTAACAGTGCACCAGATGCAACATCTAGGAGAGTCAAGTGGGAGGACATGGTATTGCATGCACTCTACCGTAACATGACTTAAGTCCCAGGCATCTAGTGTGTTGATTCTTTGGATAGGCAAGGAGAGAAATGAGATCTGTATTTGGCCCAGTCAGTACACAGTTCAAAGCTGGGTGGCAGGGACCTCAGGTGCTAGGGGCTGTTTTGCTTGTAAGACTGAATCTCCCATACTGAAGGAAAAGTTCTTATTTGGGACAACAACTTGCCTTGGCCTTTGTCACTGTTTAGACACTATCATGGACTACTGTGGGAATGTGGGAACCCTTCCTGGCTGTTGGACAGCCTCAGGGACTGGAGGCCTTGGAAGTTCCAGCCTTGGAGTTGCAGGAGGAGGTTGGCACTGGAAGACCCCTGACAACTGCATCCTTGGATCCTCCATCTCCTCTGCAGCCTCAAACCCCATGAAACTTTGTGGGATTTGGGTAAGGCAGGCAAAGGCTGAGCTGAAAATCAGGTTAGCCATACCAGGCAGGTGCTGGTGTGGGATTCTAGGCTATGGAGTATTCTAAATTACCAGTCAGGATCTAGTGGCAGGGATGTGGAGCTGTGTCCTGGAGTGGGCTGGACCAGTCCCAGGAGGGAGCTGCTACACAGGAAGAACAGCAGTTCTCGGGAAACACTATATCAACTAGCATTTGAAGGGAATCAGATCTGAGGGACCCAGGCAGGGCCCCTAGCTGACCCTTGCTCTGGCTCTCTCCTGTTTCTGCCAGGAAGCACACGATCAGATAAGTTCCTGAAGCAGGTCAGGGATGTGATTTTTGTTAGGGAACACCAGGTGTCCTGACCCAATTCAGGCATAATGAGGCTGGGACCATGAGCCCTGGAAAGATCACCTAGGAGACCAAGGTTACAGGTCATGTGGAAGTGGAAGTTAAACTGAGAACCCCAATTGATTGCTTCTAGTGAGGGCTCCTTTTCCCCATCCCTTGTTATAATGGCAGGGATTACATAGAGCAAAAGCAGTAAAGACCAGACATGTCCTTGGGGCATCTGGGGTGCTGGCTGCCCCTGACCATGCACTCCCCACCCACTGCCATCCTCTTCTGGAACATCAGGTTGAAGTAGTGGCCACTTTCATGAGTTATGATCGACCTCACTCCATAAAGAGGTACAAGTTCCCAGGCAGGTGGCCTGAGTGAACCCAGAGCAACTTTTCCCTTCTGCAGAGCCAGCAAAGCAGAAGCAGACACTCTGGCTGGGCTGGTTACTTCTCCCCATCCTGACCCTGAACCTCAAGGCAGAGTTGGAATCAGGAGTATGGAGCCTGGAGTTTCTGGGATTGTTGCAGAGAAAATGCCCAGGCCTCCAGCTGGAGGGAGCTGCTATTTGGAGAGTTAGATGCCTCAGAGCCAACACACAGGTAGGTGACAGGCTGTACCAGACCTTACTGTGCAAACCATGATCCCCCACCAGTAGATTTTGGACCCTGAAAACTGGCTCACTTTTCTGCAGACTCATAGAAGATCATTCTGTCAAAGTTGCTTGTGCGCTGCCATTCCTGCAAACCCTTCAGCAGGCCCTCTTCCATGGTTATGGTGGGCTCCCATTAGGACAGAGACGGAAGCACTGGCCTGGAATTCATCAGGATCAGTTTCCATAAGATCACCCTCCTTTATAACCTAACCAGACCAACATACATTTCTACCGTTGTTACATTTGCCCCATCATGTTCAACTCAAAGTATTGATATTGGGACTCCAGGACACTTATACCAAACATTAACACCAAGGGCTGCACTGGCCAGCATGATTGTGCTTGGATTCCTCAATGATATGGTGTACTATGTGCTGAATGTTTTATCCTCCCAAATTCACCTGTTGAATCCCTAACCCCCACAGGATTATATCTGGAGATTGCATTTAGTGCTTAGAGGGTTAGATGAGATCCTGAGGATGGTGCTTCATGAGGGCATTAGTGTTCTTCCTGGAGAAGGGGGAGACACTGAAGAGATATAAGTCATGTGAGGCCCACATGAGCCAGCTGTCTTTTCAAGCAAGGATAAGAGAGAGCATTTATGGGACTTTAGGTCAGATACCCTTTACCTGGGAATCCTGACTCAAGAACTGTGAGAAAGAAATGCCTGTGTTTCTGTCCACATTTTCCATAGCATCATGTATGGTGGCCCAGGCTGACTTAAGAGAGTGCACAGAATGGCCTGGGAACACAGATACAAACTGGGGCAAAGAGGAGCATCCCCATCCAGTATCCAAAGACAGCTCCCCCTTGAGTGTCACATCACCAGAGGGTCCCAATCAGGAGTTCATGACAGTGTGTATGGGTATCCATAGAGTTCTCTGTTGGGGCCAGCACCCCTAAACCTACTTGTGGTTGTGGTGTCCCCTGTGCCACGAACAATTAAGTCTATGTTGGAAGGTGAAATGACTGGGAGAGGCATGGAGTCAGACAACTTCAATTCCTGGCCCACATTACTCCCAGGAACCTCCTCTGACCTTGAGTCCTCCATGTGATGGTGATGATCATTGGAAATAATGACTACCTGCATGCACAGGCCTGTGATGGGCACCTGAGATAAGGCACATTTTATTCTCTCCTGTGAGGTGAATACGCCTGGAAATGTAGGTGACTCAGCTTGTCCCCTCACCCTCAGGACATTTCTTCAAGTTCCCCTACATCCCAGCCTCCTCTTTCCAACCCATGCTTTTCCTCCTCACAGAGCTCAAGGAGGAGTCTGAGGAGAACACTCACACGAGGAAGCAGGAAAGTGCTTCCACATCAGGAGTCTGAGGAAGGTGCCTGCGGACCAGGGTCTTGAAGCGCTGCCAGTGCTGGAAGTTCTCATAGACGCTGTGAGGTCTGCTGGAGTCATCTGGTGGCACTGCAGCTGGGAAGGTGGGTGGTGTACCCTCCCCATACACTGTACCTGGCCATTGGCACACATTCATTGGGAATATGATGGAACCAGCTGGGCAAATGGTCTTGGTGATAGAGGCAGAAGGCCCAGGTGCCAGTGGATCCCATAGTTCTGGATCCTCCCACTGGCTGAAGAAGGCACAGTGGTTCTCAGGACAGAAGGTGCTTCTATGAATGGAGCAGGTTGCTCCACACCCCCACAGTTGGCCTCCGGGGCCCTCCAGTTGAGGGGTGCCTGAGTGTGGGCAATATTCTGAATATGAGGAGGCCCTGCTGGCCTCAGTTGTGGCCCATGTTTTCCAAAGGTTAAGAGCCCTGGCACATATGATTGTCCAGGGTAAGCAGACAGCACCAGAGAGTTACCCTGGGAGATGAGTGCAGTCACCCTTGGTGCCAGGGGCAGCTCCCAGAATGGCTGGTGTGTTGGCACAGGGGCAGCTGGAAGAAAGGGTAGGCCCCTGAATGCAGACATGTGGTCACCAGGATTGAAGTTCATGCCTGGTCTCCGTGATGCAGATGCTGTGGAGGCAAAGCAAAGGGAAGAATGGGGGAGGGGAAATGGCAGCAGGATTGAGGCCCCCCAGTTACTTATACAGTGGGAATCCGAGGACAAATGCTCACAACTCAGGGCCCTGTGAGCAGGGAAATTGTGCATTTTGCAATATCCCTGAGTGAATTTCATGCTGTGTTCTCTTAGTCATAGTAATACATAGAGAAAACTCATTTCCAGGACACCAGAATTCCCTGTTTTCTGAGACACCTAAGCTTTTCCTGCCTCTGGAAGGCCCTTTGTGCATCCTTTGCAGACAGTACATTGGCCTCCTAGGTGACTCCCTAGAAGTGGACCAATTTGACTCTGCTCAGTAGCACCATGCCCCTTCTCATGCAGGTTCTCTAGGGTCATTTGGGAAGATGACTGTTTCTAAAGGTTATTGCTCCATCACCTCCTCAGCCTTGTTTTGCTAATACTCCTTGTATATCCCTCCACTTTTTTCCTGGGCTTCCACAAACAAGCGAAAAACACCTGAATTAGATCTCTGCCTAGCTAGAGGCTGAGGAATCCTGTAGTTCACCCAGAAGCACATCCTGCCCAATATGTGGGTGCTTCTCCCAGCACTTCCCACAGAAAATACTAATGGGGGGACAGATTCTGGCCATCTGTGTCCACAGTGTTCACTGATTCCTGCCATGATACAGGAAATTCCTTTCCCAGGGAAGAGGTCTATGTGATAGACACTGAGTTCCCAAGATCCTCTCCTGGGCTGACCAGTAAAGGCCACTGAGGTTTATGAAGTTGATGGGATGGTGAGGATTGGGGTTTTCCAGAGACTTTCACAGCCACTGGATTTTTTTTTATTGGGCCTGGAAATTGGAGCCATTCTAAGGTCCTTTACTTTGTGTTCCCAATAACGGGAAGGAAAGTGTCACAGAGACTCAGGCCTGTGACAACCTTGCCAACCTGTGGCAAGGTTGTTGGGATTACATCCCTGTTCACCAGGACATTATGCAGAGTGTAGTCAAGGAATGGGAGGTGTACCACACTTCAACACTTTCATGTTTAATCAGGAAACCTGCCTAAGTTCAAATGACAGTTTGAATAGGGCCCCATCCTATAACTTTAGGCTATTTTCCTTCTTGTCTTCATAAGAACCCAAGTCATCTTCAAACCCGATCTTGGAAAATGAAGACCACATGTGCTCCCTTTTCATGGAGTACAAACCAAATCAGGAAGCTAAGCAAAGTCTTTGTGTCAATGTAAAAACAATTTCACAGAGTGTATGAAAGTGATAATGATTCAGAATACCTCACAGAGGCCCAAGTATATGGTGGGTGAAGTTTCCTGGGTTCCCTGCCCTTCAGGAATCAAGGACACCTGGTGTCAGAATTGACAGAGAAGTTTTCCTGGGCAGGAGGTTGGTGAGGTGTCCTGGGCTATGGCAGTTGGAGTGCCCTGCAGCCTCACCCACAGAGAGTATATCACTGCATTTGTGGTCATTGAGAACCCCACTGGGCAGTTTCCTAGCTAAGAACATTTCTATCCATTGCCCAGTTATGATCTAAGACTCTCTGTCAATACCCTCAGAATGATATCCCAGGCAGCTTTCCTGTATCTGAAGAATGGACACAGGGCTCAGCATCTCAACTCCAGGGAACCCTAACTGACCACCAATGTGACACCATCTGTGACTGCCTAAAATCCATGCAGTGACCTGTGTCCATTCTACAAGGAATCAATCCCTTGGCCACTCTCCTTTCTCCAGACCCAGTGTACTTCCCCTGATTTGTCTGGACCTGGGTCTTAGGAACCCTCTTCCCCATGAGCAGTATCAGTCTTCCTGGGGCTTCCTGGGCCATGTCAAGTGCATTGTCTAAGGTTTTTTCCTTCCCTTATTTCTGCTCAATGAGTTGACCACAGGGGAAGTGCTCCATTCTAACTCCCAAGGGTTTGGGGGGTGACTGGCCCTCAGATAACAAACACCTGACCCTCCTGGATCACCTCCTTCTAAAGGACAGGCAGGATACCTGACACAGTGTCTCACAATCTCCATGGTGGGAAAGGTCAGTACAGGAAACAGAGAGTGACCTCTCTGTAACAGATGCTCAGGATCCAACTGAGCCAAGCTGGCCAAAGTTTAAATGTAAACCCCAGTAGAATGTTGGATCCAGACATTCTGCAGGGGAGAGGGGCCAAGGGGAGCTGGCCTGGGGGGGGGGGGGCTTGGTGGACATTCCATGAAGAGCTCTAATAGGTATAGAAGAACTTTGAGTTCCCTTCAGGCAATTCAGGGGTGACACAAGTGGTGTGTGCCTCTGGGTTATTTTGAAGTAGTTTCTAAAATACACAGGAGAGGGGTGTGACAGGTGGCCCTCTCTTTGAACAGAATCAACTTTGCTCCCTCTGATGGGCAAGACCAGTGAATCATGGCTCTCATGAGCCACAAAAATCATGGGTATAAACAGTCAATACTCTAAAAAAACTGTGGAGTATGGATTGTGTTTTATGTATAAAGTGTTTTTTTTTTTCTTCTTGTTGTTGATTTTGATGTTTTTTAATCTCATCACTGGCTTGCAAAACACACAGTTGGGTGTTCATAAAATATTAACACCTTATTATAAGTCTTTTTCAACAAATGGCAGGAGGGGGACAAACTATGATAATCAGGCACAAAAAAGAAGCTTCTTTCATTCTTTCTTCATTTGTTATTTATTATTTCCCACGTTGATGTAATCGTTGATATAGCTGGTCGGGCTTTTTTTTAACCAGTGATATAAAACATTCAGTGTAGAAAAACTATCTAGTCCTCATTCCACAGTTTTTGTTGTTGTTTTATTTTGTTTTTAAATAACTGTTTACTACTGTAAGACAAATACACACACACACACCTGAGTTGGGATAGTTAATACAAACTCAATACACAAGTAACTCTCCATAGGTAACTCATCTTCATATACAAGCTCACACACTCCCAAATATGAAGAAATAACTCCCTGTCTTCCAAAATGCAGAAGCCTGCCATCTTCATACCACACAATGAATATATTCATCCTACTGTTCCACAAAATTAGTAACTGACCAGCCTTCACACACTCAAATACATATGTATGGGTAATGAAAATAAAATTTATTCAAAATCCCTTGTACCAAAACACCATGTCCAGAATGTACAGATGTCCAGAATGTACAAATATCCCATTTCTTGGAAGTATTGCTTTTCGTAGGACTACACATGGAGATCTTGACCCTAACCAAAGAGCTGGACCAGGAGGAAGGACTCACCCAGCAGAATGGCCATTAGAACTTCAGTCTGACACCAAGACAGGTGATACCTCCCATTCATTTTTACACATCCCCCAAGTCCCTCTGTCTACCCTCATACCCAATACAGACTGAGCATGGGCCATTTCTGTTCTGTAGCTGGTGAAAATGCAACTATTGCCCTCAAAGTAGAAATTATCAGTGTAGGTGCCCCAAAGTTATGTTGTACCCTGACTAAAGTGCTTCTAAATCAGCTGCCAGCCAAGGTATAGAGGGACATAGTGATAGCACTGGACATGAGGCCTATATGGAGATCTGGCCCACCAGGGGTCACCTCATAGCAAATTAAGAGATGCAGGGTCACACAACCCTAGGTCCTATAATGAAAGCACACTGGTATCTTCCTGCACTGTTGTGAGTCTTCCTCAATGGGTCCCATTAAGTCCTCCACTCTTCCCTGGACCACAGAATCTCTTCTCTAAGCCTGGGCCAGAGAAGGGCAGTGGGTCCCAGCAGAACTTCTCCTACGGGAGCCACATGAGAAAGCAGAGGTGTTTAGTGAGGACAACCATGACCCTCCATACCCTGGACATCCTCCTGGCTTCCCAGCACCTTCTGCTGTGCTGCAAACTGTCCCACACCGAGGACTTCACAAATATCCCTTCATCCCTGGAGGCTGAGCAACACAGGCTCCTCAGCCTCAAGGAAGAGTCCTCATCCCTATCCCCCTCCTGATGCCAATCTAGGAAGTGAGCTACAGCTTGACATTCAATGCCTGCAAGAAAGACACACTATTCTGGGTCTCATCTCCAGGTCTCTGGAAAGAAACATATGGCTCTGGGGCTGATTCCTATTGCCCAGCATCTGAGAGGAAGTGTCAGTCATCAGACCCCAGAGGAAGAAGAAGAGACATTGAAGACAGTAGCATGGGTATCTGGTGAGCCAACCTCTCAGGAAGGGTCTTGGTGAGATCTCACCTTCACTACATCCTGCAGCACAAGGGGCAAAGATCCTTGTCATTCAGAACTGATCCTGCTAGTCCTCAGGAAAGGGAGGGCAAGGAGAGGGCACTGGGAATGTAGGAGGAAGGCCAAAGGTGGGAACTGGAATGGGAGAAGGAGAGAGGTACATACCTGGGGCAAAGCTATACATGGCGGGAGTTGACTGTCAAGAGTGAAGAAAAAGCATTTAGTAGAGAAATGTTCTCATGGCTGCTGCCTTCTGCTGTGGTGTCTGTGCTACTCTGTCGGGTGAGGACTGAAAGGAGGAGGTATCTGCAGATTCCATTCCTCAGGGTACACAGGTGCAGGGCCAAGCCCTTGCCTCCATATTTAGCCTGCACCTTCCACTGATGCTGGAAGAAAAACAGACCAAAAGCTTAACAGAAACCCAGTCATTATGTTGTTTACATAGCCTCAGTTAATTTAAGGGGCCTTCTCTGTACATCCCTTCATGAACTGTGTCCCATAACCATCTCTGTTACCAACAGGCTGAGGGTTCAAACATCCATCTGGAGAGCAACCACAAATAGGAAAAGTGCACCTCCCTTA